AGCAGTTTTGCTAAAAATTGATTTGCAGAAAAGGATATCAAATGATGAAATCACCTAAAAATAGCTGGAATTACCGGCAGATTGTGTGGTGGTGAACTTATGGTTTTCTGAAGATATCTTTTATGCTGAGAATGACTGTTGTTTGGACTAGAAAGTGAGATTGACATTTAGTTTCTTTGCAGGTTATTTTCGCAGACGATGGTCAGCCATGCTGTGGCAGGGGCAGAATTTGAAGTCCCAAGGACCGGTGGCCAGCATCAATTTGGACTCTTCAAAACCTCGCTGTCAACATTTGATGTAGAAACACGCTCACCTTGTGTTGAGTATCAGAGAGGCTGTTCTTAGCAACCTTTTCCTGGGACAGGCACATTTGGTGTTGTTAAGTTCATGAGTTTTCTAGTCTTGTCCCTTGCCCAAAAGGAGCTTCCTTCTGTACTTTTTATTTAATACTGTATAAATTTGTTATCTTTAAGCTGGGGACTTATTTCTTGCTGAAATATTCCCATGCAGTTACCATAAACTAATACTGTAATAAAGGATGGTCTTTGGTATTGGTTCTTAAAAATGTGTATTTGAAGAAAAAGTTAAATTTGATTACTGCTGTTGGATAGTAGCAGTACAGGTATTAGTACTTGTCAGCTTCCCTATGGTCAGTCTAAGCTGTTTTCCCCTCTGTAACAACTTCAGACTTTGAGGGTAAAAATTCCAAAGCATTTAAGGCATCCACACACTTGATTCCAGTTTCTGTCCCTTCCCATAGCCTTCCTCTACCTCCTGAAGTTCTACACCTGCCTAGCCAAACCCTTTGGCAGTAGCAGGCAAGGTCCCATAGTGCGGCTCTTAACCTAGCCCACGCGTCGCTGCCTTGCTGTGTTGGCATCTCGCTTACCTGGCATGAGGCTAGAGGCCTGTCAGGCTGTGTGCTTCTCTAGCCATTGCTGACATTTGCCTGAGGGGTCTGGGTCACCAACTTTGGGCGCCTGGACCAATTTTCTCCAGCTTAAGACTGGTTTCCAGTCTCCCTGGACTTGCTGTCAGGACTTGGGTCTAGGGCTTATTGTGCCTAGAAGGGATTTTTTTTTTTTAACTGGTAGGCCTTGGGCAAGGGGAAGGTTGGGTGAAAACTTGCTTGCTTACTCCCTCTGGGAACCTCGGGTTTATTTTTCCCTTTCTCCCAGCCATCTTGGCTTGGAGGCACTACATCTGCCAGGAACTGGGGGAAATGCTCTTAATCTCATTGAATGGTCCTGGGTTTATAAGAGTCTTCCTTAGTAGGTTTTTGGAAATGTGCTCAAAATATCAAGGATTATTTCAGGGACTCCATGAGGAGGAATTTTTAAAGGAAGCAACTCACTCAGGCCTGTTCTCGAGCAACACTGGAACCCTCGTGATTTTCTGGCAGGGTTTGTGAATGGGACTTGGCATGTGTGCCTGTGTGTAGGCACCCTAGGATGCTCTAAATATTGAAGGGTATAGGGTGGCTGGTCTCTTGGGCAGGCCCTGGAATCACAGGTTGAGGGGTGGGCCTCAAATGAAGGCTGAGGCTGGGAAGTTGGTTCTCAGGGACTTGGGTCTCCACAACGAGGAGGTAGACAGCCTTCAGTCCAGATAGGGACTAGGTCCTGGGGTCTCGGGCAGCCAGACCCCTACACCAGCCTTCAGCCAGAAGTTAGGGTAAAGGTTGGAAAACTTGCCTCAAGCAGGAGCACATTTAGCATCTGGCTGGAGTTTGCTGCTCTGAATAGAACAAGTGTAATGGAGAATTGGGAAATCCTGGGGTGGATGTAGGACCTGAACCACACTCCTTTTCTGGGGGAAGGCTCTTAGGATTCACATTAACTGAAGCTTCCAGCATCTCCAAACTGTACACTGTGCCCACAAGTCTGGGGGTGGCTAGGGGCTGATGCCCTTTGAGCCAGTGATGACTCTTTAGGAGCCAAAAGGCAGATAATGGGATTGACAAGGAAATGCAGAGGACCAAAGAGAAGTATTACACAATCCCCCTTTCCCAGATCCTACATGCTGGCTTCCCAAGGGTGGGGCTGCCCAGGCCAATTCTGGGTGGTAGCCTGAGTCCCCTGGTAGGAGCCCCTAGCCTGCCTCAGCCATCCTACTCCACAGGGGCTCCCTGGTGAGGTCCCCCACTTGTGTATCACGTTTGGGCTGCACCTACAGTCTCCTTGCCCTCGTGGTCTTTGGCAGGGGCCAGAGGGCCCCCTCCAGGGTCCTCTTGGCCCAGTGTCCCATCCCGGGCCTCTTCCCCACCGCCTGGGCCCTCGCCCAGCTCCAGGATGGTGGGTAGGTGGCCCTGCTTTGGGGAGCGCTTGCGCAGGCTGAGCAGGAAGGGCTGGGGCAATGAGAAGATGTCTACATTGTTGCCCAGGTCGATCCACGTGACACTGGGAAACTTGCTGGGGTCCTTAAGGGTGTCGGTGAGGTCGCGCAGCAGGGCCCGGGTCAACCGGTTGCCATTGAGCGCTAGTGTGGTGAGGCGGGGTAGTGTGCTGAGTGCTGGCAGCAGCTGCAGGACCATGTCATCTGTGAGGCCTGTGAAGCCCAGCTCCACGCTATCCACCTGCTCCCCGCAGCGCTGCAGGTAGCTGGTCACCCGCTCCAGGTCTCGGGAGGTCAGCGGGATGCCTGACAGGTCCACTGTGTTGTCTGGAGGGCTCCCGGCCAGGACAGCCTTGAGGCTGAAGGGAGAAAGGACAAGCAAGATTCAAGAAAGTGGGGCAAGCCTTTTCCCCAGAGGCAGCAGTGGCCACCACCAAAGAGCTGGCCTCTGCTCCGCCTTGCAACTCCAGGGATGGGAGAAACCAGAGACCTCTGGTTCCCTGGCCCTACCTCACATCTCAGCCTGGCTGGACCCAGCTGGCCAGAGCCTGAGGACCCACAAGGGAAAGGCCCAAGTGCTTCTGTAGTGACTAAGGGTACATGGGGCCACAAAGGCCTGAGTTTGCATCTTAACTCCTTCTCTTCCCAGTCATGTGACCTTTAGTTAGTGCTTAACCTCTCTGCGGCTCTGTGACTTACCTGAGAAGTGGAGCTGATTGAGTACCACAGGGTTGTTAGGTGAACTAATAAATGCAAAGCCTTTAGAACAGTGCCTTGTATAGGTGAGTGATGAATCAATATTTGCTGCTGTCATTATTACTCACTTGGGCTGAGCTTACTCCTTCCCCACGAGTGGCGCAAGGTCTCTGAGGTCCCCCTTTCAAGGCCATCTTCGCCACCAGATGAGCCCGCAGGCCAGCAGGCAGGGAAGGCACCGGGGCTCCGAGTCTCGTGGGAGCTGCTGGCTCCTGTAGGCGGAGTGCTGTCCACCCCCTTCCACTGCCTGCCACCTGCCACCCCTTGCTCTGCTTTCTTCCCCTGCTCCTTGCTCTGGGGCCACAGCTCTGCATTTCCAGGTATCCCAGGCAAGCCCGGAGGCCCCAGTCGTTGGAAGGAGAGAGGAAGGTAGAGGGGGCTCACAGCCTGCTCCAAGAGCCTACCTTAACCATCAGCACCTGAAGGTCACAGCTTGGACTTCCTCTTGGCAAAACGAGGTAAGTCCCTCTCCTTGGGATCTCCTGAAGCTGGAAGGCTGCCCACATTTGCTCATCTTGCCTCTGATGGGGGGCAACTCCAAGGAGTTTGAAGGTAAAGCTCTCAAGGCATGACATCTAAGTGCCTGGAACACTGCCTGGCACTTGTTCAGTGTGATTTAAGTGTTGGCTGTTATTCTTATCAATGTCACTAATAAAGCAGGCTTGTTACACCTGGAAATAGGTAGTATAGTGGTTAACAGCCTGAGCCTAGGGTTTGAATTCAGCCCCGCCATTTTTTTTTTTTAAAGATTTTATTTATTTATTTTCCCCCCAAAGCCCTAGTAGATAGTTGTGTGTCATAGCCACACATCCTTCCAGTTGCTGCATGTGGGACGCGGCGCCAGCACGGCCAAAGAAGCAGCGCGTCAGTGTGCTCCCGGGATCCAAACCTGGGCCGCCAGCAGCGGAGCGCACGCACTTAACCGCTAAGCCACGGGGCCGGCCCAGCCCCGCCATTTAACCAGCTGCATGATCATGGCCAGTCAAATGGCAAGAGCAATGTCCCCTACCTTGTTCAGTCCTTGAACAGTGTGTGTTAAGCTCCTGCTGTGTGCCAGGCGCTGTCCTAGGCACTGGGGTCACAGTGGTGAAGATGGACAAGATCCCTGTTTTCATTCTACCAGAGGGGAGATAGCAAACAAGTGTGAGAGTGAAGTGAGAGAGGAGCTTGGAGGGCATGGCTACTCAGGGAAGGCTTCTGTGAGGACATAACATTTGAGCTGGCACTGGAAGAAAAAGCAGGCCATCAGAAAAGTTTGGTAAAAGTTCCAGCAGAGCAGGGGGCAAGTGCAAAGGCCCTGAGGCTGGAAAGAGCTTGGTGTGTCTGTGAACCAGCAGGAAGGCTGTGTGGCTAGGCAAGGGAAAGTGGGAGAGGAGAGACCAGAGCAGCCTGAAGGCCCATCACATATGGTTCTGTTTAGATTTCTTTCACGTGTAATGGGAAGCTACCTGAGGTGGTGAGGCTTCTGAGTGAAGAATGGACTGTGTGTGTGTGTTGGGGAGACAGAAGAGGAGGCCCCTAGATTCCAGCAGAGCTCAAATTTCCAGCTTTTCAATCCTAAAGAACTAACTCCTGCAGTCTCCTCCTGGCATTCCAGGTTCCATGGGCCCTTCCCTCCTGTCCTGCTCTGTCCCCATACGTGGGCCCTGCCTTCAGTGCAGGTGGAGCCCCACTCTTTGGCTAGCGCTGTGAGAACCTCACACTCTTCCTCCACCTAGGAAAGTCTTTCTGGGATCCGTCTCCTCTCCAGGCTTTGGGGGTTGGGTGTCCGGAAGGGAAGGAGGACCTAGAGCTCTTTCTTGTCGGGTGGGGGGCCTCCCCGGTCTCAGCACCTGGAAGGGTGCGCCACCAGCAGCATGGAGACCGGGCCAGTCTTTCAGAACAAAGCCACTCAGCCCCCTGGGCATTTGCAAGAAAGGCAGGGCTGCCTCCTCCTCCAGAAAGCCTTCCTTCCAGGCTCCTTTCCACTTGCTTCCTATGGTACTGTCTTGGCCCACAGGTTCTGTGTCCCGTGTGCCCCCACCCCCCAATCTTCAGGGGGCCCTGAGGGTCCTCACTGCTGCATGGGCCAGGGACATAGCAGGGGTCTGGGTGCCCCTAGGGGACATTCAGGAGAACTGGGGGGTTCAGTGGGAGTGCTCACATTCAGCACACCAGGAATTAGAAACTCCTCACGACCCTCTCCCCACCCACCCCATCTGAATGGGCCCACACTCTCCAGCTCTCAACTCAGACCAGGGCCCTGCCTCCAGCTTCTCTCCTGGCTGACACCCACCTGGAATGTCCTCCTGGCTGCTTTCCCCAGCCCTTGAATTCTTCCATCTCACCTCCTTCAGGCAGCCTTCCAAGACAACCCCCTCTGGTTCCAGCTCTTTCCTTCACCCCCCTGCCCTGGGAGGGGGTACTGTGCACTGCACGCCCAGCCTGGCACAGACTTGCTTTGGGCTGCCCTTGTAGAAGGAGGCTGGCAGGGGGAGGAGGCGGGCTGGCCAGCGCAGACCCACCTCAGGCAACCGCGACTCACCAGGCCTGCGGCTTCCTCTTGACCAGCCCCCGGTGCCGCCTCCACTGGGAGTGGGGACTGAGGTGGTACGTCAGCTGCCGGCACAGCTTCTCCATGGCGCCCAGCGCATCGCCTTCCTGCAGAGGCAACCACAGGCATCGGGCCCTGAGTCTCTGGAGCAGGCAGGGGAGCCCAGACCCCCACCTCCAGCTTCCTGTCTCCACGGGAAGAGCATGCACCCCAGGCAGAGCCGGGGGAGGCCTGCTCTGCTGGCTCAAGCTGGGTGCCCTTAGAGAGCAGTGGCTGCAAACTGATCTGCACAATGGTTTTAGTTTCTGTGAATTAGCTGCTATGGTTGAAAAAATGAAATTCATATAAAAATCTGATGCCAGGCGATCTGACAACAATTGACTGGAGCTGAGTGTCAGCTGACCCCTTAGCCAGAATTCACTACGGTCCCTGCCACTCCCCAGCCTCCAGGGCCATTCTGCTCATGCACTCGCTCAACGAACATTTACTGAGCACTACTAGGCGCCAGGCACTTGTTCTAGGAGTTGAGGATCCACCACGAACAAATGTCCTGGCTCTTGTACTTCACATAGTAAAGGGGAAAGTGAAATATTTTTACCATGTCTCTTTTACCCATGTCAAAAGGGGGAAAATAAAATAATGAGAGGGCCAAAGTCTTTCCTAGCCCAGTTCATTCATCTGTGTTACTTGTCTGGCCCGTAAGCATTTGAGTTTGAAACCCTCGATGTTATGGCCTGAATTGCGTCCCCCCAGAATTCTTTTTTTTTTTTTTTGGGGAGGAAGATCAGCTCTGAGCTAACAACCATGCCAATCCTCCTCTTTTTGCTGAGGAAGACTGGCCCTGGGCTAACATCTGTGCCCATCTTCCTCTACTTTTTTTTTATATGGGACGCCGCCACAGCATGGCCTGACAAGTGGTGCATCGGTGTGTGCCCGGGATCCGAACCCACGCTGCCAGCAGCGGAGCACGCGCACTTAACCACTACGCCACGGGGCCGGCCCTCCCCCCAGAATTCTTAAGTCCCAATCCCCAATACCTCAGGATGTGACCGTATTCGGAGATAGGGCCTCCACAGAGTAATTAAGGTAGAATGAGGTCATTGGGGTGGGCCCTAATCCAATATGACTGGTGTCCTCATGAGAAGAGAATAGGACAGTGACATGTACAGAGGAAAGACCATGTGAGGACACAGAAGACAGCCATCTACAAGCAAGGAGAGGCTTCAGAAGAAACCAACCCTTGATCTTGGACTTCCACCCTCTAGAACTGTGAGGAAATAAATTTCTGTTGTTTAAGTGGTATTTCATTAGGGCAGCCCTAGCAAACTAATACTCTGGGTTAAAGGGTGCAGCAGAGAGAGACTAGAGGGACTCCAACTCCACCCCAAGGGAAGCCAATTCAACAGTCACTGAGCCCTGGGCGAGTGAGTGGCCAAGAGCCCTGGGCAAGTGAGTAGCCAGCAAGTGCCAGGGCTCAGATGCAAAGCCACACGCGGATAGCGACACAGACGTGGTGAGGTTCAACCGTCAACCCACGTCCAGTGCTCAGCAGTGTCTGGCACAGAGTGAGCACTCAGTAAAGGCCAGCTTGATCATCACCATCATCACCACCATCATCATCATCATCACCACCACTCTGCTAATGGAGGAGCAGCATGTTGAGTAGTTAAGAGCATGGACTTGGAGCCAAAGAGTGTGGATTTAAATCCTCTCTTTGTCACCTCCTGTGTGACCTTGAGCAAGTTACTTGACCCCTCTGCCTCCAGCCCTCGTCTGTGAAGAGATAACAGTACCAACCTCACAAGGCATTTTGTGAGGATGAAGAGTAACTACTTGTGAAACATAGCACATAGTAAGCTCTCCAGGAATGCTCGCTAAATACATACTGTGCTGTATAAGAGCAGTACAGACACACGGAACTTGGGCAGGGTAAAGAAGGAAGATTGCTGCCACCCAGGCTCGGATCTGAGATGAGCTTTTACGGGGTGATGAGTTAGTGATTTTTGGATGGAGAAAGGAAACACGAGGCATCTCTGAGTGAGCAGGAAACAACTTGTGCAAGGGCTTGGGTGTGTGTGGGGGGTGTTACAGACATGTAGCAGATGATAATCTAGGGCCTGACCACCTCACCACCTCCACAGCCACCACTTTGGTCCAAGTCACTATTGTCTGTCACCTGGATTATTGCACATCGACATTATGCTAGGACTTTACGGAATTCCCACAACACCCTAGAGCAGTAAATGCTTTCCTTACCCCCATTTTACAGAGGAAGAAACTGAAGCTCAGAGGGCCAGGGGCTAGGGCTGATAGAAAGGCAAGAGAAGGAGACTGAGGGAGGGAGATGAGAGAGGAGGAAGGAAGAGGGAGGTTGAGTGACTAAAGAGATGAAGCATCTGAGCAGGGATCCAGGAGACAAAGGAAGGCCCGAGACTGAGTAGGATCGGTTTAGACGAAACCTCTGGTCTCTAGTTCTCCATGAACTCATCTTCCTATTGCCTAAGCCTGTCGAGAGAGAAATGAATGTCACGTGTCAGTCCAGGCAATTGCATTTGCAACACCTGGAGTTGATATATTCTGATTCCTAGACTTAGTTTCTTGCTGAGCCTAGTCAGGTGGGGGTGTGTGACGGGAAGCAGGTGGTGAAGTTGGCAGGGGCTCCATCATGGGGGTGGCAGGGGAGTTGCTGGGGGGTGGGGAACGGTAGGATCACATTTGCATTTTGGGACCATCCCTCTGACTGGGAGATGGAGAAAGGGGGGACTGTAGGCAGAGAGGGTGACTCAGGGCCAGGCCTGAGGACAGGGCTGAAAGAGGTGGAGGCCACCACACTCGACTGACAGTGCACAGAATGGAGAGGGTGTGGGCAGGGAGGGGATGAGGAGGGCTCTAGGCTTTGGGCTGGGACCTTGGGCTTGCCTTGAGCAGAAGGCAAGGGGCTGCAGAGGAGAAGGGGATGGAAAGGTAGGACAAGGGAACGACCAGCTCATTTGGGGCCATGTGGAGTTTGAGGGGCCTGTGGGACCTCCAGCTGGGAGATGCAATTGGATTTATGGGGCTGGGGCTCAAGACAGGTCTGAGCTGGACACGTTCATCAGCATCTGGTTAAACCCCCTGGCCTGAGTGGGGAATGAGCTGAGGAGGAAGGCAAAGGGAACAGCTGCAACATCGTAGGGGCAGAAGGAGGACACACGGCACACGAAGGGGTGGAGAAGGCACAGTCAGAGAAGCAGGAGAGAGCGGAGCCATAGGCACCAAGGAGAAGGGTGGACTCCAGTGAAGAGGCCTGGGCCAGCACAGGCTCAAGGAGGGGCGGTCATGGTGGGGCTGGGGTGAAGGCCAACTTTGGATGCCACAGGCAGAATGGGACAGCCCATAGAGAGCGGCTGTCCACCTGGGACTCTTGCATGCAGGAATCGGGGTGGGGGGAGCTTTAAAAAATGCCGCTGCCTGGGCCACCCCCAGCAATGGGGTGGGCAGCTCAGGCACAGGGATTTTTAAAAGCTCCCCCGTGGTCCCCCTGTGCTGCCAAGGTGGACACACTTTAAAGACAAGGACCAGAGGGTGGGATCCAGTGGTCTGCCCACCATCACTCCTGGGACCACCCCGGGACAGAACATTGCCAGTCTCCCACAGCACCTGCTCCAAAGCTGAGAACTGAGCCCCTCAGCTCCAGCTCCTCCTCCAGCCACTTCCCAGGGTTTCCAAAATCAGGGCCAGGGACTCTCCCTCCACCTTCTAGGCCTGGGCAGCTGGGCCTTAAAGGGAGAAACCAAGAAGAAAAGAGGCAGCAAAGCAGTGCGCTGGCACTGCCGCAAGGGGGAAGCCGTGCGCAGGGTGAGGCACAGGCTGAGCAGGCACTGGGGCCCCCACCTGGGAGACGGATTGAGCCTGTTTCCTCATCCGCCAAACAGGGACAATAGATATGGTCACCTACCAGAGCTGACTTGAGACCAAACGTGAGCTAACGTCCTCCCAGAAGTGAGAGCCCCCTCCGCTTGTCTGGACTAAGTTAACAACAGCTCACATGCAGAGCATCTCCTGGACGTTAGGCATGGCCCCTGTGCGTTGCATGCATGAGCTCATCACAGTCCTGTAACCCACAATAATCCTAGGAGACAGGCGCTACTATCACCCCCACTTTACAAACGAGGGAACTGAGGCATAAAGAAGCTGAATAGACTGGCAAGCCACGCAACTTAAGGAATCAGGATCCAAACCTCAGTGCGGCTCTGAGGCTGGCACTCCTGACCTGCCAACCCGCCTTGTGCTCTGCTCCGCCCTCCTGGTGACAAAGCTTTCACTTAGGTTAGTTCAAGGTGTTTCTGTCCTTTGCAACCAGAACAGCCTTAAGCAAGCCCATCTAATTTTTTCCCAACTCCATCACTTTCTGAAGCCCTCTGCAGACCTTCCTCCTACAGAGACCAGGGCTAAGCAGGACTGGCCCAGACGGGGAGGAGTAAGAGAAGGTGGGGAAAGGAGGAGGAAGTGCCGTTTCTGTGCGGTTTCAGAGTAGAAAAACAGCTGCCTCCCAGGTACAGAGCAGCCAAGTGCCCTTTGGCCAGGGCTTCGACGACAGGCACCGGATGTTACGTGGGCCCTGCACCCAGCGCTCGGATGGTCCGCTGGCCCCTCTCCTCTGGGAACTTTCTTCTCCAAGTGGTGTGGCCCAGCAGTCCTTTTGTGCAACCAGACCCCACGGGCACCTGCAGAGCGCAGCCAATCAGCCTTTTCCTGGGACTCCCAACCTGAGACGGAGACACACCCCCAACTCCTCCCAAGGATGAACCATGACAAGTAAACTGAGGAGCCCCGGGCAGCCCTATTTCCTGCCCTGTGGCGTGGGAAAGGGAATGGAGAGTGAAGCGAGGGGAGCAGAGAGCAGAGAGGGAGAGATGCCTGCACTGTGTCTCCCTGCGGTTCTAGCGCCTCAAGCTGGGCTTCCTTTGGTCCCCACAAGACCCTTCAGTATCAGAAGGATAAATGCTCTTCCTGGCTTGAGGCAGCCCCAGTGGGCTTCTGTTACCTGCACCAGAGTCCTAACCCACACCAGAAGCTCAAAGGCAGTTTGTGGAATCAACTTTCTGCAGCTCTTCCTCCCACTGTG